GTTTATTTCTGCTCTAATCTTTTTTTTAGAATCTTTTTTTTAATGCTTTTTATTTATTTCTGAGAGATAGAGACGGTGTGAGCAGGGGAGGGTCAGAGAGAGAGGGAGACACAGAATCTGAAGCAGGCTCCAGGCTCTGAACTAGCTGTCAGCACAGAGCCCGACGCAGGGCTTGAACCCACGAACCTTGAGATCATGACCTGAGCCGAAGTCGGACGCTTAACTGACTGAGCCACCCACGCGTCCCTTCTGCTCTAATCTTTATTATTTCTCTTCTTCTGTTGGCCTTGGGGTTTCTTTGCTGTTCTGCTTCTAGATCCTTTAGATGTGTCATTAGGTTTTGTATCTGAGATTTTTCTTGTTTCTTGAGATAGGCCTGAATTGTAGTGTATTTTCCTCTTAGGACTGTCTTTGCTGCATCCCAAAGGATTTGGATTGTTGTGTTTTCATTTTCATTTGCTTCCATATATTTTTAAAATTTCTTCTTTAATGCCTGCTTGACCCATTCATTCTTCAGTAGGATGTTCTTTAACCTCCATGCATGTGGAGGTTTTCCAAATTTTTCTTGTGATTGAAAAGATTTCAAAGGTGATTTCAAGTTTTGTAGCATTGTGATCTGCAAATACGCATGGTATGATCTTAATTCTTTTATAGTTGTTGAGGGCTCTTTCGTGATCCAGTATGTGATCTATCTTGGAAAATGTCCTATGTACACTCGAGAAGAATGTGTATACTGCTGCTTTTGGATGAAAAGTTCTGAATATATCTGTCCAGGCCATCTGTTCCAATGTATCGTTCAAGGCCATTTTTTCTTTATTGATTTTCTGCCTAAAAGATCTGTCCATTCGCTAGGTCCCCTGCAATTACTATACTCTTATTAATAAAATTGCTTATGTTTGTGATTGTTTTATATATTTGGAGTTATACCAAATTGGGGGCATAAACATTTATAATTGTTAGTTCTTCTTGAGGGATAGGGGCATAAACATTTATAATTGTTAGCTCTTCTTGAGGGATAGACTACGTAAGTATGATATAATGCCCTCTTCATCTCTTATTACAGCCTTTAGTTTAAAATCTAGTTGGTCTGATATAAGTAAGTCTACTCCAGCTTTCTTTTCACTTCCAGTAGCGTGATAGATGGTTTTCCATCCCCTCACTTTCAATCTGAAGGTGTCCTCAAGTCTGAAATGAATCTCTTGTAGACAGAATATAGATTGAATCCATTCTGATACCCCCTGTCTTTTAATTGGAGCATTTAGTCCATTTACTTTCAGCATTATTATTGAAAGACAGGGATTTATCTTTAATTATCTGTAGGTTTCATGCTTGTGGTGATGTATCTGGTCCTTTGTAGTCTTTGTAGCATTAGACTCACAGAGTTCCCCTTAGGACCTATTGTAGGGCTGGTTTTGTGGTCATGAACTCTTTCAGTTTTTGTTTGTCTGGTCAAGACTTTTCTCTCTCCTTCTATTCTGAATGACAGCATTGCTCAATAACTTCTTGGCGCACATTTTTCCTATTCAGCGTATTCAATATTTCTTGCCACTCCCTTCTTGTCTGCCACATTTTGCTGGACAGGTCCGCTTCTACCCTTATGTGTCTGCCCCTGTAGTTTAAGGTCTGTTTGTCCCTAGCTCCTTTCACTTATCTTTGTATTTTGCCAGTTTTAGTATGATATTCCATGGCGAAGACCTATTCCTATTAAATCTGAAGGGAGTTCTTTGTGCCTCTTTGACTTGGATTTCTGCTCCCTTCCACAGATTAGGGAAGTTCTCAGCTATAATTTATTCAAGTAAACCTTCTGCCCCTTTCTCTCTCTCTCTCTCTCTCTCTCCTTCTGGAACTCCTGTGGTATGGATATTATTACATTTCATTGAATCACTTCATTCTCTTATTCTCCCCTCGTGGTCTAGTATATTCTTATCTCTTTCTCACCTTTATCATTTTCCATCCTTGCTCTTTCATACTTGCTTTCACTGCACCATCTCCTGGATGGCATACCATTACTTCTCAAAATGAAGACTGGTAGGGTGCTATATCATTGTTCTGATGCAGGCGTGGTCCACATCAAATGGGACTTCAGCTACACTTTTACTGACCGATTAAATTCCATGATGAGGAGAGCTAGGGAGGTATGGTAGTGGAGTGAAGTTTGATTTAAGGAACATGGAGGGATGAATTGAGTGGGTGGATTAGAGTCATATAGAAAATTTTAAACGATAGGTTGAAGAGGTGGTATTTGTAGGTGTTAAAAACCCATAAAAGAAATTTGTGTTTTGCTTATTTTCTGCTAGTAGAGCTCTACTATGAAGGAAGAATTTTGAGATTACCATCATAGAATTGTGATATATTAAATCCTGAAGTGTGGCTAAAAATCTGGACTGACCAAATTTGTTGTTGTTTGTTTATATGAAGTTTTATAAAGTGCTTTCAACATACTTTGTATTTTGGTAAATTGTGCAATCCTACTTGAAAATGTTTATCCCCTTAGTTGTTGTTGCCTTTTTCATATGGCACCAAGTCCGAGGCTGAGTGGGTCTGTTATTAGGACGATGAAGCTCTCTAGACCGGAGTTGCTTTGTCAGGGAATGTATAGCTTGCTACCTGGGTATGTGCTTGACTGCACTTTCCACGAAAGGTTTACGTGTTGCAGACACAAAGGAGGCAGGATTCTGTGCCTAATATTTGGCAGTAGTCAAAGAAACATTTTCCTAAAGCAGTGGCTGAATACACCACTGTCAGGGCATCAAACCTTGACATTATCCCTCACCCCAAGTCTTATTCTGTTCTTGTAGGGATGAGGATATTCTCTGATATTTTTGTCCATCCTCATATAGAGAGTTACTTCAGTTTCACTAATGAGATCTCATTTCTAACATGTTAATTAAACAAACTACTAATTTCACCAGTGAAAAGCTATTTCTGATACACAGTATGCTAAAAAGCAAAGACTTTGCTGTTGATCAAGATATGAATAGTTGAATTTGGCGCCTGGGTGGCTCATTCAGTTAAATGTCTGACTTCAACTCAGGTCATGATCTCATGGTTCATGTGTTTGAACCCTGCGTCAGGCTCTGTGCTGACAGCTCAGAGCCTGGAGCCTGCTTTGGATTCTGTATCTACCTCTCTCTCCCTCTCTCTCTCTCTCTCTGACCCACTCCCACTTGTGCTCTATGTCTCTCTTAAAAATAAATGAACATTAAGAAAAATATGAATAGTTGAAAGAGTATGGAAAGCTGAGTTGCTTGGCCAGGTCTGCAATGTGACCCTTTCTTATGTAATACTAACCAATCCCAGGAATCTGAATTCTCAGTTAGGGCCAGTGTCTGTAAAGTTAAAGCTTAAACTACAGATCTACACGTTGTCTCTTACTGTCTATCCTGAAACAGTAATTTGTGAATTTTGTATATTAATTAGTTAAATGCATTATGGAAATAGCATTGCCTGTCCTTGGTTAACTCCGTTGGCTTTATAGTCTCAACCCAGTGGTTACACGTATGCTTGTTGTTGTTTGTTTTAATTTGCTCTTCACCTCTACTGTACTGTTATTCTCTTTGCTTTACTTTAGGTTGATCATAAGCCTTAGCCAAATACACCTACAAGTAATGAAAATATCATGAAGAGATGTTAGGGCATGTACATCTTGAGTGCATGCATCCTAAATGCACTCAAAATATACATGGTTAACATGGTTAAACATGTTATTCTGAAATCTTAATGAGCAGTTTTCCAAGGTGTTTATAGGCCTCAAAGTGGCCTCCTTTGTGAGACTTCCATTTTGCTCCCTGGCACTAGGTGTAGTTATGAGCCTTCTCATTCTGTCCAGATTCTCTTAATCTGCAGCTGGGAAGCCCTTCCTTTGCCAGAAGATCCCTTTTCTTCTTGGCAGGTTCATTCACTTTTTCATGGTTTTAGTCCCAAACAGTTTGCAGCCTGGAACCAAGAGAAGTTGGTTTCCTAGGTTTTTGGTTGTTGAAGCAAGGAAGCTGTAATTGTTCTGCGGCGCCCAAGTACAGCCTGTCCTTTGACTTTGCCACAAGTGTTTAAACAGATTTTAAAGGGACATCGTATTCAAATGTCTCAAAGATTCTAGGTCATGGAGCTCGCTGAATGTCCAGATTTTCTGATCTTATATTTCCTTGAAGATGCACGTGGAATCTCCACCACGAAAGAAAGATTTAGATTTTTCTATAGAAAATAAATTGAGATGTGCCTGGTTGGCTCAGTCAGTTAAGAGTCCAACTTTTGATTTCAGTTCAGGTCATGATCTCATGGTTCATGAGACTGAGTTCTGCCTCAGGCTCTGTGCTGACAGCCTGGAATCGGCTTGGGATTCTCTATGCTAGCCCCTCCCCCATGTGCAGGCTCTCTCTTTTTCTCTCAGAATAGATAAATATAGTTTTTTGTTTTTTTAAGAAAAGAGTGGCACCTTGGTGGCTTAGTTGGTTGAGCGTCCGACTTCAGCTCAGGTCATGATCTCACGGTTCGTGGGTTCAAGCCCTGCGTCGGGCTCTGTGCTGACAGCCAGCTCAGAGCCTGGAGGCTGCTTCCAATTCTGTGTGTGTGTCTCTCTCTGACCCTCCCCTGCTCGCACTGCCTCTTTATCTCTCTCTCTCTCTCTCTCTCTCTCTCTCAGAAATAAATAAAACATTAAAAAAATAAAAAGAAATGGAAAAAGTTGAGACAAGTATGGTTATGAAATTGAAATAATTGTGTGAATAAATGTTTATATTATGAATCTACATTGGATAGTAGGCAATGCTGTTTTAATGTTATATATAACATATAACATATGTCATATATAACATAATATATAATATATAACATATATAATGTTATATATACATATATATGTATACACACACACCTGCATATGTATATATAAGATAAAAATGATGTTGTAATGTAACAGTTTAAAAAACTTCATTTTTTTCATGACTCAATTAAAATGGCTTTACATTTTATTTTTTATTTTTATTTAAAAATTTTAAATACAGCAAGATCAACTTTATACCTGGGCTGCAGTCAGCCAACCCACTCACTCACTGGATTACACAGAAGGGCAGTTTCCCCGGCCAGCTCCACCTGTTTGGCCACCATCTACACCTCCTGATGAAGAACCTAGGTCGAAGGATGCTGAAACAGGTAGGAGCCGGGAATAGCACGTGTTCTAAAAGTGTGTGATGTAAAGTACCGTGCAGTGCTTACTGGGTAGTAAGTCTTAAATGTCTCTTCTGTATTTCTTAGATTATAATCTGCAACTAACTCAAATAAAATCACTGGGAGTCTTGTTAAGTTGAAAATTTTTATGCTCCACCTTCAAGGCTGCTGAGTTAGACTTCTAGGGAATAGCACACTGGAATTGTCCAGTTATTATTATGCGTATGAAAGTTCGCGAACTACAGCTTTAGGTGGCCACTGGTAGCCACCACCTGAGGTTGAAGCTCCACATCCTGTGTTGGGCTGAGAACATCAAAAGGAAATTTCTGTCTATTGCCTTCGAAGATGGTGGCCACCTTACCTCTCCACTCTGAGTCTCTTCCTTTATTGCTTTCCTTGTTGTTTTTCTCGATCCTTTTCTTACCTTAAGAGATAATGGGGCCATAGAGATATAAGTTTCACCAAATCTAAATTTTAAGTAATCTTTTAAAAGCTGTACAGTGTTCAAATGTATGTTCTTTAAGATTTTTCTTTTCAGTTGTTTTTCTCTTTGCATCTTTTGTTGTCTTTTAGAGTATTTTGTTTCATTGGCTGGGAAGATAGAAAGATTAACATCAGCTTTATATGGAGCCTGAAAGTGGGAAAGCACCTTGTATTTGTTTTAGGAAATAAGAATCGCATTTGTGCAAAAATTAGTTGTTTAATTCCTTTCTAAAAATTTTTCGGTTTGGTATAATAAATTTCTGACTTCTCAGTGGACTGATCCATAAGTGGAGAGTAAACTGAAGAGCATCATTACTATTTAGAAATCTATCACCAAATTTTCCTAAAATAGTAGCATAAGTGTTAGAGTTAAAAGTTTTGATCCCCCCCCCCCCCACATTGGCTTACAGAGAAAAAGTCATTAGAAATTCAATTTGGACTTGTAATAACAGAATATAACATATGAGCATGGAGCATCATTTACTGGTTTTGTAACCTTGCGCAAATTTCTTAATCCTGTACTCAGTTTCCTCACCTGTAAAATGTCAGTAAGAATAGCATCTACTACATAGGGCTGTTTTGAGGATTATATGAGTTAATGCATGTTAAAGTATGAATTGGCATCCAGAATGCTGCACTGGGCTTGGTATAAGTGTTTGCTATCGTTATTATAATTGTTGTCATTATTTCACATCATTATTTATTACTTCTTCATGAGTTCCCTTCAAAACCAATAATAACCCACAGTGTTAAGGATTTTATTCTAGCCTCCTTTCCAAAGGTTTGCAAAGTGAACTCAGTGTTTATAATCCTGTATTTATCCAAGTCTCTGGAGGGATGCACTTTATGTCTTTCTTCTTTCTATTGAAGCCCAGAATGGGGGGCCCATGCCCAACGTAGCATGACCTCTTTTTAATGTCTGATGCTTTTGAAACACTGCTTACTGTTCACTAGGTGGACTGTACTCCCTGAAATGAGCAACAATGAGAGATAGGAGGTAGGAAATGTTCCATGTAGGGCTCTGAATTTCTTATAACACAGTACAGTTGATTGAAGGCCAAGGTAGAGTTCCTTAGTGCAAATATCTTCAGATATGAAGGGCTTCTAACATGATAGCACCTGAAAATAAAGCAATTACATAGGGGCGCCTGGGTGGCTCAGTTGGTTAAGCGTCCTACTTCGGCTCAGGTCATGATCTCACGGTCCATGGGGTTTGAGGCCCGCATTGGGTTCTGTACTGACAGCTCAGAACCTGGAGCTGCTTCGGATTCTGTCTCCCTCTCTCTGCCCCTCCCCCGCTTGCACTCTGTCTCTCTCTGAAGAATAAATAAACATTAAAAAAAAAAACAAAAAGAAACACATAACTAAAAGTATAGATCCTGTTAAGTGCACTGTGTTATTCATGGTAAAAGTTACATTAATTACTTGGTAGGAAATAGCCAGGTGTAGATACAGTAGAACTGATTAGTTTCATTGAAAGTTCTCTTAACAGTTGTCCGTGTGTGGTTTCACATCATTATGAGTATAATATTTTCATTTTTTCTTCCCTAGTATGTCTTTCTCCACTTTTCTGAAACATTTATATTCACTTCTAAAATTGTAAGGCACTTTCAAAAAGTTATGAAATATTTTATATTATTGATTTTGTATACCTGAGGACTAGATTGAAAGGTAGTGATAATCTAAATTTTAGTTTAGTAAAAGATGATAGTTGGAATTGATACTAGGAACTTTGTAACTTAGTTTTTTGTTTGTTGTTTGGTGTAATTTATAAAATGCCAGAGCAAGTAATTATTAATATAATAACTTGTATCCTTTTAAAATATGCATTCTTGAAGAGGATGATGGAGGTAAGTAGAAAATAGTATCGTGTAGTGATTTGTGTTTCTCCAGTTGATCTCTTATAAACCGCATTCTTTTGTCCAAATGATCTGATGGCACTTTTCTAAGCTTTCCCTGCTGTGACTCTGTGGGGTATTCTGATTCTGGGGGCCATTTATTCACTATTTGTAGTACACTTAATGGCTGGTTGCTCTACACTGTTGTACTGACATCATGGTGAAAGTCAGTATTTGCAACATGTCTCTCCTTTCAATTTTAGTTTAAAAGAATTCAATGACTTTATTTTCTTTTTGAAGAAGAAAGACTTTCAGTTATATTTTAGAACACTGAAAACTTGTGGGATGCCTGGGTGGTTGAGTTGATTGAGCATCCTACCCTTGATCTCGGCTCAGGTCATGGTCTCATGGTTCACGAGATTGAGCTCCATGTAGGCCTCTGTGCTGACAGCGTGGAGCCTGCTTAGGATTCTCTCTCTCTCTCTCTCTCTCTCTCTCTCCTTTCTCTTTGTGTTCCTCCCCTACTTGTTTCTGTCTCTCTCAAAATAAATAAACTTAAAAAAATTTGAAAACTTGTTTTTTGCCTTTTTTTTTTTTTTGCCTTGGGCTCTTTTTAATATTGATTAATAATTCATATGTCCAGCTAATTCAGGTTTCTTTTGCTGCCTCTTCTGCTTTTCTTATGCTTCTGACTCAATTTTTTTGTAATCCGTTCTGTGAGAGAGGTTTTCGTCTACCTTTCATATGTGGATGAAAGAATCAACCCTCCTATATATGAATTGGAGTTGCAGAGGTCAAGGTGAGGCCTTGACGTCTCTCCTCACCAGTGATATGGAGAAGGGCTGTAGATTCTTGGCAATCTTTCGCAGTTGGCATTGTCTCCATGGAAGAGCCTAAGATGTGAAAATTGACCTTTTGAAATGTATAGAATGCCCCCAGGAAGGGTAAGCCTAGCTGGAAAGGAAATTGGGAAGCAGTGTACTTCCTAATTTGGTGACAGAAACACTGATAAGAAGGAAACCTTTCCATTTATCTTGTTTTGTCTTTCTCTTCTCTCTCTTCATATCTCTTTACTTACATTATATAACACCTTCCCCACTCTCCATGGGTGTTTGCTCATTTGGAGTCCCACGATATTTTATTCATGTCTCTGTCATTCCTATTACTTATGTATTTTAATTTATCTGTTTATATATATTTATTCTTTGTTGAAGACTCCCAACATTTCAAGACCTTTGGGCACATGGTATATATTTAAATATTTAAGTCAATAAATTAAGATCTTTTGTTGAAAAAGATCTCAATAACTATCTACTTAGCATATTAATGCAAACACTTGAGAGAGTTTTGTGTGTGTGCTGAAACAGCCCATGGAAATCAAAGAGATGATTAACTTTAGTTTTCACATTTATGCAGAATAGGGGCAGGATGTCTAACTGTGTATAGGGACTTGATCATTCTTATTACATCTTTGAAACACCGAGCCCCTTCTCTTTCTCTGACAGTGTGAAAGGCCAAGTAGAGTAGTAATCAGGAAGGCAGCTTGGGGAACAGAAAATCCTGGAGGAAAATATGTGGAAGGAGATCTGGTAGAAGCATGGCATGGAATTTTTATATAGACATCCTAAAAATCATGTTTACATGTTAGCTGAAGGGATTGTAACCCACCCTTGTCCCAGAATAGATTTGAAGGTGTACAAAAGGAATACAAAGGGAAAGAAATCAAATTGGAAGGAATCTAGGATGGACCAATAAAATGAAGCTGAGGTCAGCTAGCACACAAATATACTTCAGAAGAGCTTGCAGTTTTCAAAAATAGTTGGAAAACTTTCCTCAGGTTTAAAGTAGAAAGGGAAATGGGGACAATTCTAGAATCATGCTCTGTGTCCATGAAGTTAAAAGCAACAGTGTCTTTTCTAGCCTTCTATATAAAAAAGTAGTATTTCTGATGGTTCCTAATAAGAGAGATTCTGTGTGATATAATGCAAATATAATATAATGCAAACAACTCATGTCCATGAGTAGTCTGAATGCTTTAATACACATTCACTTGGGAGTAACGCAGAAATTCTGAAAAGGACCCAGGAAGATTTGATAGTGTTCTTGTTCTCCGCTTCCCACTTGATCAAGGGATTAAAAAAAATCTTTTTCAACCAGAAAAGATTGAAAGATCATGTCTCCTATAGATAATTCTTCATTTTCAAATTTATCTGTTGTAATATTGGCCTGCATCTCTCTCTTACCTATGCAGGCTAAAGCTTCTGTGTCAAAATTCTTTGTTGGCATTGATGGGATATATCCATACCATGAGATAATCAAATAAGCAGAACATAAGGTCGGTCCCTGTTAGGAAAATTACATGTTCAACCCCATCTCCATTTGTGGAAGGACATGGTATACCAGAATTAAAAGCATCTACCATTTATTAGGCAGCTAATTATAAATTTTATTATTTAAGTTTGGTAAGTTCTCTCTCAATTAAATTGATAGACTTGAATCAAATTGATGTATTAAAGAAATGGTATTTTAATAATTTTACATAAGTGCATTTTTACTTATGATATAAAACTCTTTAGAGACTGCTTAATTCCGTTTTAGAAGGCATACTTTATATGTTTTAAAGAGGTGATTTAATTTATTTTCCATTCATGGCAGAGAGGCATATCCGACTCATTTTCTTTCTCTCTACAAATGTCAAGCTCATCCAAGTATGCTCGTTATGCAAGTTGTATGCTTATTTTGTGATGATCAAGAGATCATTTCTGAAACACATTTGGAATTATGAGGATCCCAGAATTTTAGATTCTTTGTTATTTAGAACACTTAAAGTTTTGTCTTTAAGAGTGGAAGAGTTGGCAGTTTTACAGGTACCTTTGAGAGAGCTTTTACTGGGTTACTCTTTAAAAAGAACCTTACGTGAATACGTAATGGGGACTGTCAGTTCCTGAGCTGAGTGGAAGGCAGCCCCCAGGAGCCCTGGATACTGAAAGAGGGGAGTGTCGGCAACGAGTGTCATAGGATTTTGCACCAGAGGTGGCCAATCTAAGAATGTTAGAACTAAGTGGATTTCTTTTTTTTTTTAATATTTTTTTTCATTTATTTCTAGGAGAGAGAGAGAGAGAGAGAGAGAGATTGAGACAGCACGAGCAGGGGAGGGTCAGAGAGAGAGGGAGACACAGACTCTGAAACAGGCTCCAGGCTCCGAGCTGGCAGTCAGCACAGAGCCCGACACGGGGCTCGAACCCACGAACCGTGAGACCATGACCTAAGCGAAAGTTGGACGCTTAACCGACTAAGCCACCCAGGCGTCCCAAACTAAGTGGATTTCTTAAATGCACCTGCCTGGTGACTAGCGCTGAGTAACTACCAGAAACCAGCCTACTCATCATTTGCTGCAAACATGCCATTTTCTTTTGCTCACCACTTTGTGTTGTCTCGCATGCTTCTCTTTATTCCCTCTTAACTATGCCTTCTTTGTTTTTTCTCTTTCTTATTTGCCTTCTCCTTAACTTTTATTTTTTTCTGTTCTTTTTTATTTTGCCTTTGTTTTCCAATGCAGTTATTCTATTCACATCTTTTTCATCTTAAAATCTTGACATTCTAGAATGTTTATGCTTCAGTTTATTATTTGAAAGAGAGCGTTTTGCTATAACTTTCCCTTAGATGTTGTAACACGCTGATTCAAAGAAATAAGAAGTAGAGTGGAAGGGAGGATGTGGGAGAATGAATTCAATTCAGGTGTTTGTTTATTTATCGACTGACAAGCATAACTTTACTTTTTTAAAGAGATAATTTATTATCAAATTGGCTAACGTACAGTGTATGCAGTGTGCTCTTGATTTTGGGGGTAGATTCCTATGTTCCCCGCTTGCATACGTACCACACCCATCTCACCAGAGGGAAACTGAAAGTGTGGAGGAGGAGGATTCAGGAAAATCACTGAGTTGTCTTTCTGGTTCATTTTTCTGGTGAACTGTCTGCATTCTTTATCATCAGAACCCAGAAATTCACTTTTTTGGGCAGGTCACCAGGTCTAGGGCTATAGGGGAAAAGCTAGGAAGCACTGCATGTGCAAAGAACTGTTGGTATTCTGCCAGGAGGTCCACTGAGCAAAATCTAAAAGTGTTTTTCATCGATTCAAAGCCCCAGGACCTCATCTAGAGTTTGTTGAGTTTGGGGATTTGGAGATAACTAAAAACAAAAGTGTTCCAGCATTTGTATTTGCTTTATATTAACTGCTGGTTGGCTTTGGTGTTAGGATCCTTACTCAGAATTGGCGAACTCCAGTGTTAAGTTCGGAGTAGAGACTTGTCAAGATAAAAAGAAGAATCCATTTTTTTTTTTTTTTTTTTTATTAGCTGAGCAAAATACAGTACTTGTCTGGGAAAATGCTTGCATTTTAAGGCCACTTGTTAATATTCTGTTGCCGCAGTGACATCTGTTGGGGACTACTTCATGCTGTTCTCAATGACTTTTGTTTTCAAAGATGCGCTCTTAGCTGAGGTGAAGGAAGTAGCTAAAGGCAAAGTAATACCTATGTTGCCCCTTATACGACCCTTACTCCCCCTTTCCCAGGATGCTCCCTTTCATGGTTTGATCATTCTTTTGATCACTCCCTCCATTCACTCCTACAATGACTGGGCAAATACTTGAAGCCCCTACTGTGTGCCGGGCAGTATTCTAGATGCTGGGGACAGTGGAGGAAAAATGACAAAAATCCCTGCCTTCACAGAGCTTATATTCTGGTAGAGTAAGAGAGATAAGAATTAGGGAGCAGAGGGGCGCCTGGGTGGCTTAGTTGGTTAAGCGTCCTACTTTTGCTTAGGTCATGATCTCGCGGTTCTTGGGTTCGAGCCCCGCTTCTGGCTCTGTGCTGACTGCCAGCTCAGAGCCTGGAGCCAATTTCAGAGTCTGTATCTCCCTCTCTCTCTGACCCTCCCCTGCTCATGCTGTCCTTCTCTCTCCTAGAAATAATAAATATTAAAAAAAATAATAATTAGTGAGCAGAAAAGTGAATTAGGTAGTAGATTATGTGATGTTCCATGTTCAGGAAGGTCAGAGGCAGGAATGAGAAGCGCTAGCAGTGGCTTGGATCACCGCTTTACAGAGGTTGCTAGGCAGCCTGAAACAAGGGAAAGAGCAAGTCAGGAGGGGCATGCAGATATCCCACCAGAGCCAAGCCCTGTGAGGACGGCAGCGTGCCTACGAGCAGCGAGAAGGCTCCTGCGGCCACAAGAGCAGGCAGGGAAAGGCAGAGGTGGCCAGAAGCTGTGGACAAGTGAAAGAAGGACAATGGTCTGTACAGAGACTGTGCTTTAATTTCAGTGAAATGGAAACTTTCAATGTAGTTTAACAATATGTCATAAAATTTAATAATAAGCACCTTGTTATTTTTCTATAGCATTGTCACACGTATCACCTAGAATGCTGCTAGATTAGGGATGTCTAAATTATCCTCGAGAGTGACTGATGTGTCTTGTCAGGACTTGGTCTGCATGCCAGTTGGGACAGGAGACAAACTCTAGTCTTCCAGCTTCCCACCAGTTGCTTATATTATGTGCCTCTGGTTTTTCAGCTGGAAATGGTGGATGATGGACACGATGAGTTGTTTTCAGACTCTACTTCATGGAGCACTGGGGATTTCTCAAGGCTCCTTGTTTTTATTTTTTGTTTTACAATGTCCATGCAAAGTTCACTTAGAAGAAATTGTCCCTTAGCTCAAAAAATAATCCTGGAATTTGTTATCCCTTAGGTTTTCCAGCATGAATTTACAGCCTCATAGACTCTTAAATGACAAATAAAGGAACAAAATCCTTTCAGAATCCTTATTACTTGACGGTAATACTCATGATCTCTTATTGAAAATTAGAAGGCAGGGGCACCTTGGTGGCCCAGTGGGTTTGAGTGTCCAACTCTTGATTTCAGCTCAGGTCAGATAATGATCCCAGGGTCATGGGGTTGAGCCCCATATTGGGATCCTAACTGAATGTGGAGCCTTCTTAGGACCTCTCTCTGTCTCTCTCTCTCTGTCTCTCTGTCTGTCTGTCTCTCTCCATCTGTCCCTCTCCCTCACTCGTGCGTGCTCTCTCTCTCTAAAATAAAAAAAAGGAAATTAGAAGGAAAGTTGTCAATAGGTAAGACAATTGAATCCCATCCTTCAAGATTGGTGAGTTCTATTATTGTACAGACTTTAGCTAAGTAAATAGTATATGTGAATGTTTCAACACATACTTCCTAGCACAAAATAGACACTAGCCATTGAGAAAAATAATTATGTTTAGTGTGCCAAAAAGGGCATGAGGCTATTGTAATTTAAAAAATCATGACGTGAGTGTTAGTCATTATGTGTGTTATATATACTGAAAGGTAGTCATGTCTTCATAATACAGAAGTATAATTGGAAGATAAACTGAATGTTTTTGGTACCTCTGGTTAAAGCTATGTTTTAGCTAGTTTTGTTTTCTGATTGAGAAAGTGGGAAAACTTCTTTAAGATACTGACTCTTTTTCTTTTCCAAACCAGAATCTCAGTCTGCTGTTTTGGAAACTCCAAAAAAAGGTTCAGATGCTGTTCAACAGGTAAGATCTTTTATTTTTTAATTTATTGATTTAAATTTAAGTTAGGTAACATTACAATGTAGTGTTGGTTTCAGAATTAGAACCCAGTGATTCATCACTTACATGAACACTCACTGCTCATACCCAACTAGTGCCCTTCTTAATACCCATCACCCGTTTAGCCCATTCCCCACCCCCAACTACCCTCAGTTTGTTATCTGTATTTAAGAGTCTCTTACTGTTTGCCTCACTCTCTGTTTTATCTTATTTTTCTTTCCTTTCCCCTATGTTTGTTTTGCTTCTTAAATTCCACATATGAGTGGAATGATGTGCTATTTGTCTTTGTTTAGCTTACTTTGCTGAGCATAATACCCTCTAGTTCCACCGATGTTGTTGCAAATGGCAAGATTTCATTCTTTTTGGATCACTGAGTAATAGTCCACTGTGTGTGTGTGTGTGTGTGTGTGTGTGTGTACCACATCTTCTTTATCCATCCATCAGTCGATGGGCATTTGGGCGCTCTCCATAATTTGGCTATTGTTGATAGTGCTGCTATAAACATTGGGATGAATGTGCCTTTTTGAATCAGCATTTTTGTATCCTTTGGATAAATACCTAGTAGTGCAATTGCTGGGCCATAGGGTAGCTCTATTTTTAATATTTTGAGGAACCTCCATACTGTTTTCCAGAGTGGCTGCACCAGTTTGCATTCCCACCAAGAGTGCAAAAGCATTCCCCTTTCTTCACATCCTCGCCAACATCTGTTGTTGCCTAAGTGGTTAATGTTAGCCATTCTGACAGGAGTGAGGTGGTATCTCATTGTGGTTTTGATTTGTATTTCCCTGATGTTGAGTGATGTTGAGTATCTTCTCATGTGTCTGTTAGCCGTCTGGATATCTTCTTTGGAAAAGTGTTTAATTCACGTCTTTTGCTGGTTTCTTCACTGGATTATTTGTTTTTTTGAGTGTTGAGTTTGATAAGTTCTTTATAAATTTTGGATACTAACCCTTTATTCAATACGTTATTTGCAAATATCTTCCCTCATTCCGTTGGTTGCCTTTTAGTTTTGTTGATGGCTTCCTTTGCTGTGCGGAAGAAGCTTTTTATCTTGATGAGGTCCCCAATAGGTTATGTTTGCTTTTGTTTCCCTTGCCTACAGAATCATGTCTAGTAGGAAGTTACTGCAGCCAAGGTCAAAGAGACTTCTGTCTGTTTTCTCCTGTAGGATTTTGATGGCTTCCTGTCTCGCATTTAGGTCTTTCATCCATTTTGAGTTTATTTTTGTGTATGATGTAAGAAAGTGTCCAGTTCATTCTTTTGCATGTTCCTGGCCAGTTCTCCCAGTACCATTTGTTGAAGAGACTGTCTTTAGTCCATTGGATACTCTTTCTTGTAGCTGGCCGTATGTTTGTGGGTCCCTTTCTGGCTTCTCTGTTTCGTTCCCTTTATTTATATGAGGTAAGAAGATTGTATTAGGATGTTGAATCCTACTCCCTTTCTTTCTTACTTTCTCTCTTACTTGTCTTAAAATTGTGACAGTCTCTGATTTTTTTTTTTCATCTGTCAGCTAGCTGAGGCTATCCTTACTTCTCTAAGTCTTCAGGGAAATCTAGTCATGTGGAAGGGGATGTTGTCTCCCATTTAGGCTTTGAAAAGAAAATCAACCTTGAAGTGGAACTGAGCACAAGCTTTTTTGAAGCTGCATCATTGTATATGTAGCCAAAGAGTTGGGCCTGACAGCAGCTTGGTCCAGGAGGACAAAGTTGCCGTTCCAGATGTGACATGGAGATTTGCTTGGCTGAACTAATAGTCACATGGATGAGGGTTTGAAGAAAATGCCAGAGGTTTTCTAAAAGTAAATCATATTCTTACGTTACTTTGGTGGATGAAATATTAGTTAGTGTCTGTTTAATTCCCACCGAAACCTTTTTGCTTTTCCTAAAGAAGCCACATTTTATGTTTTTTTCTTTTTAAATAAAAATACTACTAAAGAAAAAAAGACTGCAAGAAAGGAAACACATAGAATAGTAATTGTACATAGCAATTGCTCTTTTGGATACAAAACCATTTTTAAAAAATGTATTTGTACTTTCTTCCAACTAGTCTTTTGAAAATAACAGAACTAGAAATGATCAGTAAGAAGACTGTGTCCCAGCACGGTCTAGTGGAGGCTTAGAAGATTCTCATCCTTTCAAGGCCCAGCTCTGTTTCTGGTTAGTGTGTAGCCCATACTGGGCTTTCTGGGACATGATGTTTTTCTCTGTCAAGTTAAAGAACTTGATGATTTTTAAGAACTTTTCCAACTTAAAACTGACATCGCTTTGAAAAAGCAGCATCCTGCCTCTTCCATGAAAGTTGTGCTCCCTCTGGAGGAGAAGTGAGGCTATAACACTGGTCAAGTACTACAACTTATTCATGCTTTAAAAATACACAGCTATGAAGTTATTACAATATTATTGAGACCTACACTGTCCTTTTCATTCCTGTGACTTATTTATTTTATTATTTACTTTATTTGTACCTCTTAGTCCCCTTCACCTATTTTGCCTATCTGAAACTAACTATATACTTCGATTAAACAGTTATAATTAAAAAATGTAGCTACATTGGCCTTTGTCGTAAGCATAAGAATATTCTTTTTTAAAAATTTTTTTAATGTTATTTAATTTTGAAAGAGAGAGAGAGAGAGAGCGAGAGAGAGCATGAGCCAGGGAGGGGCAGAGAGATAGGAAGACACAGACTCTGAAGCAGGCTCCAGGCTCTCAGATGTCAGCACAGAACCCGACACGGGGCTTGAACTCACAGATCGTAAGATCATGACCTAAGCTGAAGCCGGACTCTTAACTGACTGAGCCACCCAGGCGTCCCAAGAGGAATGATACTCTTAAGGATAGTGTCATAGGGGCGCCTGAGTGACTCAGTTGGTTATGCGTCTGATTTCAGCTCAGGTCATGATCTCACGGTTTGTGGTTCGAGCCCCACGTCGGGCTCTGTGCTGACTGCCAGCTCAGAGCCTGGAGCCTATTTCGGGTTCTGTGTCTCACTCTCTCTCTGACCCTCCCCTGCTTGTGCTGTCTTCTCTCTCTCTCAGAAATAAATAAAACATTTAAAAAAATTTAAAAAAAAAGGATAGTGTCATAAAACATATTTTCTCAGCTTTTTGTCAGAGCAAGAGACCTACACAAGGCCAGGGCACTTGGAGAGAGACGGTGTTCTGAGCTGATGGTTCTTTAATAAACTGTAATGATTTGCCAGCAGTGATTGAGATGAAGAAAGATAAAAAGAGGCAAAGAGAAGTAAATTCAGAAATAATTAAGAAAAATAGTGCTCTGAAAATATCCTCTCTCTCTTTTTTTTAGGCATGATTAAATTATAATCTGAAATAATATATTAGATTTTTCTAAATTTTTATTTCCAGGGCATATGGTACTGAATTTTTATTATATATGATAATGCCAAAGAAAGCCTCAACAAAACATAATTTATACTACAAAAATGATAAACATGCAACATTGCTCTGTGTATTAAGATTCATAATATCAATTCATGTGTGTAAAATTATAGTGATTCTTCTATTTTTCTTGAGCTATGAACCATGGTAAAATATATTATAAGAGGAAACCCAGTACGCTGAGTGATTTACAAATGCCTGATGTTGCAGCTTTGGAAATTCAGTGGTGAAATAGATTGATTTAAATTTCATATCTTCTTTCCTTATTGCCAGTGAACTCTCTAGAAGCCAGAAAATCCAATAAATTAATTGAGAGGAAAGAGTATTTGGAAGAAACTGAGGTTAATTCCTCAACAATGATTGCTTACTTTCTTTGTCATAAGTTTACTTATGGACCAGTTCTTTTCTTAGATGATATGTGTATGTTTCATAAGTGCTTAAAGTAACTGGTCATCAAAACGATATAAGAAACTGGAATTAATAACCAGTCTACTATGCACATACACTTTTACTGCATTATCTTATGCAATTCTTACAATAGTCCTTTAAAGTAACTAGTATCATTCATTTAGCTGATAGAGAAAAAAGATGTTTACAGGAGAGTCACAAAACTGATAAAGGGTTAAATACCAGGATTTGAATATAGGTCTGTCTGATTTTATAGCTCATGTTTGCTACACTATGATAAAAATTGTACTTTTACATGAGCAATTGTCCTATGGCTATTTAATACCATTTGTGCCAAAATCATGACATTGTTAGAGGAGAAGTTTATTTTAGGTTATTCTATTATATTTAAACTATTTCATTTATAAGAGTCAAATATCAAGATATGTTTCATAAGCACACAGAGAGACTCATTCGTTTACCTATACAGTCTTAAGTTTCAGTATAACTTTGGTGTGCCAAATTGTGCCACTTTTTTTTTTTGCTAACGTTAGTGTTTCACTACTCTTATTTTAAAAAATTTTTAAGAACATTTATTTATTTTGAGAAAAAGAGAGAGCGTGAGCAAAGGAGAGGCAGAGAGAGGGAGAGAGGATCCCAAGCAGGCTCCACACTATCGGCACAGAACCTGATGCTGGGCTCAGTCCCATGAACCAAGAGATCATGACCTGAGCCGAAATCCAGAGTTGGACACTCAACTGACTGAGCCACCCAGGTGCCCCAGTGTTTCACTGTTCTTAAAACAACAACAAAGCGACAAACCAAAACAAACAAACAACTACAACAACAACAACAACAAACCTTATTATTTTCATGTAAAGCACCTTGCTCTTTTCTTCTTTAGTCACTAGATGGCAGTTCTGTATCTCTGTATATTACCAGGGCTAAAGGAAATGAGAGGTTTTAAGCCAGTTTGCTCTGTATAAATGATGATCCGAAGAGGTTTTCTGGTCCATCCCAGGCCGCCTGCTTTATTCTGTGGTTATAACGCAAGATCACTAGGACTGCTTAGTCAGAGGCATGGAGGAGGGCTGGAAAGCACCCTCTAAGTCTTTCTTCAGATGTGAGTTCAGGCACCTGTTCTCTCAATCTGCGCACACTGGAATTTATTGAATGAGTTTTG